TGTTGCTTCTTTGTGCAAAACCACCATCTCAGTTAAGTGTCATGGTGCCCCTCTGTGTGTGTGGGTAGGTGGGAGTTTCCATAGCTGCCACAGCATTCACTGAAGTCTGTTCTAACTGTGATTTGTCTTTTTATTATGGACCTGGGAAGACTCCCCCAGTTTTATTTGTTTTCTTGTTTTAAGTGTTTTGTTAACAGCCGGGCAGCAAGGGTGAGAGCTCTGGGCATTGGCAAATGTCCACTGTGCCCTGCTAAGAAAGGCTTTCTCTGGGGGCAGAATGTGCTGAGTGCTAAAAGAGGAGGCAGTAGTAAACAGGTACTTTGCATTCAGGATGGCCTCTCTCTCATCTTGAAGTGTGTAATTGTGTTCAGGGTAAATTATGGAAATAAAAATAATCACAAGTTGCTCATAAGGCAATAACCCTCTTTAAAAATTTCAAGGCAGAGCCAAAGGGTCCTTAGCAACCAGTCCTGAGATGTTGGCTTGTAACGGGGAGGGAGGGAGTTGTCTTCCAGAACCAGGTTCTAACACCCTAGTCTCAGCCATTTAGCTGACTCATACCAGGCAACTTCCCCAAATCAGGCTCTGGAGTTCAATCTTTATCGTAAAAGCAGTGAAAACACCAGGATTCTGGGAAGGGGAAAGCAGCCAGTACCCCACCCAGCACTGGGGACTTCTTAGTTCTTCCTGTTTCTCACTTCCACCTCTAGTTTTGAGATCTTGTCACTTGTCACTTCTGTTAGGACTTATTGCTGATTAAATGGATGGGGATGGAGTCTAGAGTATTGTACAATGTCACCTAAAGTCGTATTTAACAAAATGATATTTAGAAGAGTCTCTGAGCAATTATATAATTATATTATATTATACTATTAATTGAAAGCTGCTAATAAGGAAGTTAAATCCCAATAACAGTCCTATCAAGCACTGAAAGGGTCACTGGTTGTCATCAAAGGAAGTTTTGCCTTTTGTAGACAATAAGGTTTCTGGTCATTGTAACTATCTGAGAGGTGTCTGGTTTGATGAAAGATACTTGTTCTTTAATAAAAGGCTCTCCTTGATTCAGGTCTTTGTTTTTAGTAATTATAGAGCAACTCTGAAAATTGGCCAGGTGTGGTGGGGCATGTCTGTAATCCCAGCAAACTTAAGTATGAAGAAGGAAAATTGCCATAAATTCGAGGATAGCCTGTACTACATAGTCAGTAGCAGACCATTCAAGGGGACAGAGCGAGACTTTCTGGAAGAAGAAACTACAGGGCTATCATGATGAGGTACCTACCACCCAACCTGAGGAGTTTACTCCCTGGAACCCACATGTTAGAAGGCAATAACTGATTCTAGAAAGTCATCCTCTGACTTTCACATGCACACACAAATAAGTAAATAGAGCTAAGTGAAGAAAAATAGACAACAAAAAACCTGAAAGTCATGGGAAGCACCCCTATAACAACAATTTCTGGTATAAATAAAAATTCCGTTTGATTCTATCTCCTAAACTTCTTCCAAATATACCAACCAATTAATGCTTGAAAATGTCTACACATGGCAGCCACTGCTCCACCCTTAAAATAAATTACCTGGCTGTTAACAGCTTCTTTTGATGGCTAGATATTGTACCTGTTTTGATTTCTTTTCCCCAGAACACATACTATTCCTACCTTGACAGAATGTCAGCTAATTGAGTTTTAAAAAACTCTGAAGGGTTTTTAAATGCATTCTTTTAAGGAAGATACCAAAGTTTCATGTTTCTCTCCTGCTACACATGAGATTGCATTTTGTGACAACCTAATTGTCTCAACATTCATTTCAAGGGGAAAATTTATCAAGCCATAGCATGTACTCTTGCTTTTGGAAGACATATTTGAGGATGTGAGCAGAAATCATTTTTACATAAAGGCTTCAGGCAGTAGAGTTCTGACATACATACTGTATTTTCCTTGCTGTCACTCAAGTCCTTTGCCTCAAATAAATAGGTCATTATTATCCCATTGCAGCCATCTATAGTGCCTCAAAGTATGGGGCTCTGTTTAATATAACTGCCATCTAGCTGACCTGTATAATTTATTGGTGATTTTTTTAAAGAATGACATCCTTGGGCCACCACCACCATCAGCGAAGCACTTTGATGTCTTTCAGCCAAATACTTCATTATCACATAATTTCCTGCATTGGTACTCCAACCATATTAGCATAGCTAGAAGTTGGCATTTTTCTGAGACACTGGATTTTGGTCCTAATAACTGAAAAAGTAATAACTCCATGATGTGGACAAACCATGGGTTTGCAGAATGGTACAGCAAAGGCAAAAAGTTTACTTGAGTGACTTGGTAAATGGACTGGTCATATAGTATCTCATTTTAAGTAATAATTAGGAACGTGTAGACTGTGTTGTAAACAAAACAAAAACAACTTTTGCTTGATGTTGTCACTTCCTTCATTCTTAAAAATGCAAAACCATGCTTCATTTGTCTTGGCTCCCAACCTCCTACACATGGGCTGCTATAAATATAGTAGCCTCCTCTTGGAACATACTGGTTGTAGACCTACCATGAAGAACTAAAATTAAAGCCAATAGTTATTTCCACAGAAAGTGTCTTATTAGAACAGAACTGAATTAGAGGCAGCTTTAAGTCTTAGGAGCTTCCAAGTACTAGTTGGTATCCAAAGGGACTGATCCTGTCAGCAGGCAGCCTCTGCACATGTACCTTCTATGGGTTGAAGAATCTTGTTTGTGTTACTAATAAACTCCCTGCAGGCAGAAGAAATCCCTACCTGTCCCAAAGAAGATCCTGTTTGATATTCTGGCCTCCTAAAGGCAAGCCCATGACTTTAACATCATTTTACTCTTACATTACATAGTGTAATTTTTCCTTCATTTCCTCATCTGACTAAGTTACCCTGCAAACACAGTTTCTAGTGTCCTGCTCTCTGTTCACACTTATCCAGGGCCAGCAAGTCCACCTTGAAAAACTGGCCTGATTGGCAGGAATTCCTGTCACCTTGGTCTTTGCTCCTATCTGGGAATAACCCATTCCTTCCTGTTGGGTTCTGGATTCTGTGTTTGTTACAATAATCTACAGAGGAAAAACAATAACACCTCTCGGTTTTTTGTTTTTGTTTTTGTTTTTGTTTTTTCTGATCACCTTCCACTCTGTTGTTCCTCTCTAACAGCATTTAACTTTCCCCAGTTCAGTCTCAGTCCTTCCAGCCACACAGGCCTGTGTCCCCACAGCAAGGCTAATTTCCCAAGTCATGGAGCTCAAGGTCAAGTTTCATTTGAGTTTGCTCTACAAGAGGGAGACATTTTGTTTATCTGCAGCTCTAATATTTTTACCCCTTATTCTTCTAGTTCCCTCTCTTCTAATCCTCTGCCAGGGGCTGGTCTGTTTCTATGTGGATTTGGCTTTAAGCCATCTTAGAGACACCATCACACTTTCCCACTGTGTCCTGCCAAAAAAGGATCCTTCAGAAGAAATGTGGTAGCAGGTGGAATCCTCCACTTATTATAATTGTACCTCTATTTATGCTGCCTCGATTTTTTAGTCTTTAAAGTAGCATTTATCTTTGACCTTTGCTTCTTGATGTAACAACATTTCTTCAAGGAGCCAAGAAGATACCCTAAGCTGATACATGCGGGCTACATGGAGAGCTGCAGAGCAGGAGCCTTGAGCCTGCATTCTTGCATTTGCTACTCCCACACATGATAATGGCTTAATAAGTGTGGAGATTTGTGGTCTAGAGAAATGATGAGAGTGATGTGGTGGTTCTGGTGCTGGTGCTGGTAGTGGTGGTGGCATGATGGTGATGTGATGGTGATGGTAATGGTGATGATAGTAGTAGCAGTTACCATCTGTTTAGTTTGAAAAGCTAGACATGGTGTTAACTGCTTTGTGTTTATAACAACTCTGTGGGATAGCTTTTAATTACTGCCCCCATTTTGTAGATGGGAAACTGGCTCAGTACGGTAGATAAATTTCCTGATGTAAGAGCAGTCTGTCTTCCCCCTTCTGGACTGACTGTTATGTTTGCTGCCTGTAAATACACTTTTTGTTTGGGAAGTAGTCATTAGGTGTTCTTTTTATGAACATCTCGGCTCCGTAAAGGCCAGGACAGTGTTCCAGACTCCCTTGTCTCCTGTTATGTGAAGCACAGAGTGCAACACTTCACAATCCCTTATCTTCTGCTTCTAAATTGAACTTCCACCTGTGCTGTGGATCTTTTCACACATTTAGGAGATGCTCTGGCTCCTAGAACAAATCTTGATGCTGCAGACTGGCACAGATCTAGAGCTATGCCTTGTTATCAGTGGATCTGAGAGCTCTCACATTTTGACATGTTCTGAAATGTTTGTAATGACTGAAGGGGTTATCTGCAGGGACATTGGTGAGCTCTGAGCTGCCTGAGGCTTTGCGTGAGTTATGAAGGTGTGTTTTTTGAAAGCTGAGTCAGACTTTCAACTGCAGGCCTTGTGGGTGTATTGAAGTCCCAAAGAGCCAGTTTAGTCCTCACTGCCACACGTGACAAAATGAAGTGCCTGCCAACTGGGAGTGTCAATATCTGCTAACTAGACAGGCTCATTTATTGAGCATTCCTGCTTTCGTTCAGTGACCCTTGAGTTTAGCTTGGCTCAAGGGCCTGTGATCTAGGCTAGGCCATACCTTCCCTCATGTAGGTGGGAAATCTTCGATGTTCACAACAGTCAGTAGTCTGGTCTTTCTGGTCCCGCCTCAGCACACTGCTTGACAGTTCAAAATACTGGAAGATGGGGACCTTGATACCACTTACTTTGAGCCATGTCAATTCCAAGCTTAGTTGTATCTTCACTGAGCTCTGCCTTAGTTTGATGACTCATTTTGTGAACTAGGAAGAAGAATATTCGGGCCATATCAGTCATTAATTTCCTATTGCGTTTCTCACTTCTTTTTGCTCTAATGGGTCTCACTGACTAAATTTTAAATGATGGGGAGTTGCATCTGACCTTTTTCTCCCTTTTTTCAAAGGTGATGGACAGAATCTGTTTACTAAAGACGTGACAGTGATCGAGGGAGAAGTCATTTCTCACTTCTTTTTGCTCTAATGGGTCTCACTGACTAAATTTTAAATCATGGGGAGTTGCATCTGACCTTTTTCTCCCTTTTTTCAAAGGTAATGGACAGAATCTGTTTACTAAAGACGTGACAGTGATCGAGGGAGAAGTCGCAACCATCAGCTGCCAAGTCAATAAGAGTGACGACTCCGTGATTCAACTACTGAATCCCAACAGGCAGACCATTTACTTCAAGGACTTCAGGCGTAAGTTTCCACCTCACAGTAGTAGATGGCAACTTTTTTCTTTTTTTTACCCATGTGTTGTCTTGATAAAGAGATTGCCAAGGCCACCTTTTTCTAATTTAATGTTAGATGCTTAAAGTTTAGTCAATTCTTTAGAGAGAAAAAGAGACAGGCAATCATAATCTTTCTACTTAATAGAAACCTTGAATGGTCCCCTTTAAAAGTCTTACTTTGCAATAGGAATTGATTGTAGTAATTCAGGGTGAATTGCAATCGAGTCCCAAATACTTAGCTGACACAAACAGCTCAAATAGAGTAAGGCAAGGAACATATAGCATTCTGATAGGGAATCTGTTTGGTTTGAAGATTAGCATTTCCAAGACAATCTATCTGTAATGACAGGACCAGATCTTTCACCATAGCCTCTGCTGTACAGAAATAGCCATATGCTAAGATCCGTTCAAATGCAATTTAACAAAAGCCAGCCTTTAAAACTGAATTCTATATGACACCAATGGCTCATATGGTTGCTGTGGCTTGGCAAGACACCTAACTGTGAAACAAGTATTCATCGTGCCTATTTTCAGCTGCTTGTCTCCTGTCCACTCCCAGTATTTTGGGCCATTCTGTGGGAAGAGTTGATAAACAAGGAACATTTAAAGGGACTAAAGAAGGGACAGTGACATGGCTCAGAGGCTAAAGGTGCTTATACCAAGCCTGAGCACCTTAGTTCCATTCCCAAAACCCACATGGTAGAAGGAGAAACCCAGCTCTACAAAGTGGTTGGTCCTCTGAATTTCACATGCATGTGGCACTAATAGCCTTTGCTAAAATTAATAAGGCATTGAAATAGACCTTTTGTATTAAATAAGAAGTCCACTTATGATGCTCTTTGGTGATTTCAATTTCCTGTTTGGGATCTGATCAGTTGCCCACTGTAAGGTGGGCTTACCTAGAAAACTGCATAACCAACTAAGGCCTCTAAAGGCCCAGATCAGGCTGCCCCACCTCAGTTCATATCCAAGTTAAATAGTCTGCTATAACATGTTAAAAATTGGAGTTTTAATAAAAATTGGAATTTTACATCTTACTTTGAAATTAAAATTACTTATTTGTTTTGTTTTCTTCCATGATTTGGTCCCACTGTTTTTGTTTGTTTGTTTGTTTGTTTTTGGCTTTGTATTTTCTTTTTAAAAATACTTTTGTTTCTGAACATCTACTGTTGATCTGAGAGAGCCTGGCATGTTGTACAGTGCACTCAATGCCTACTTCTGCATAAATTTCTTTAGGATAGGTCATTAGGGTTATTTGCCTGCATGTTGCTACTGCAGAAACCTAAAACCATAACAAACAGAAAGACTTAAATTATTTCCATTCAACGGCTGTTTTTCTAACGCCTGACTTTTTCTCATGCCTAGTTAAAGGAAATAGATTGTCCATCATCTTTTGCACAACCACTGACTGTGTTTTGTTTCACAGCTTTGAAGGACAGCAGGTTTCAGCTGCTGAATTTTTCTAGCAGTGAACTCAAAGTGTCACTGACAAACGTCTCAATTTCGGATGAAGGGAGATACTTCTGCCAACTCTACACTGACCCCCCACAGGAGAGTTACACCACCATCACAGTCCTGGGTAAGAAATGCCTGTTAGTCCTGGGGAGACAGTGGGATGGCTCGGGCTACTAAGTGGCTTCCAGTAACAAGGAAAGGGTTAAGAGTAGGTCTCACTGTTTCAACTTCTTTTAGGGAGAATCACCACCCATCTTGCTGAATTTTAAAAATAGCCTATTTTACCAAATACTCTAAGGAATAGCAGTCAGCCGTCTTTATAGATTCCACCTGTTCTTGGGTTTCAAACCTCATGCTTCAGAATCGAAGATCAAGAGAAGTTAGAGCCCTTAAGTGAATTACTCACCACATGAAATGGCATTGCTTCTAACTGCCCCAAGTTTTTTTTTTTTTTCCTTCTGTGCATGAAAGGAGAAGATAGGCACCCATATCTATACTTATGGAAAAGCTCAAATATCTTGTGATAATATGTCCTTCTGATTAACATCCTCATTTGAAAGTGGTTGGCCCCTTTTCTTTGGCTTTATTTATGTATTTCCCTATTTATTACTGGTGCCCAGCTCATGCTACAGAACAGAAAACCATACCCATGAACACGTTCCTTGTTACCAGGTACAGCCATCAGACATAGGCAGTTGAGAGTAGCTCACCTGGAAACAGCAGAGAACTACTGGCAGGCTGTGAGGTCACCTCTAGTGATTTTAGTGCCATCATTTGTGGTCAGCAGATTGCAATTTTCACTGAGATCCCAGTGGCCAGGGTGATGGTTTTATGTTTTGATACAGTCAGCAGGTATTTCTCTGCTGAGGGGTCTGAGTTCATTGCAGTTTACATAGACATACACTCTGGTGCATAACAGGCGCTGATCCAGGGTTTTGAAACTGAATTTTCGAGGACATAGTACTGTAGAGTGAGGCAGGATTTCTGATTTACACCTTCAGTAGGATGATGAATCAAAGTCTATTTGAGGCAGCAGGCTGCAGCTTTTTGGTGTAATGATATGAAGATTAAAGAGGAATGATAAATACGAAGGACATTTTCACTGAGTGTGTGCACATATATGTATTTATGAACGTACATATTGAGCTGCTTCCTCATCGCTTTATTTAAACACAGCTGTAAAAGAGAAAATATTTTTAATTCATTAAGCCAAACCATGTGCCCAAAGCCTGTGTATATTCTTGATATGACTGTGCTTTTTGAAAGTCAGACTTAACGTCTGGCACAGTTTCCAATGTACTGTGTGCAAGGGTCTGTAGCTCACACGTGTGTGTCTGTCACTTCCTGATTTAATCTGTACAAGATCTGCATGGAAGTTCTGGTGGAGTGACTATTTTGGTAATGCACAGATGAACCAGATTCACCTGGAGCATTTGAAGTTTCCCATTTCTGCTTGTCCACACATGTGTAAAGTGACTGTCTTCTACATTTGAGCTGCCATCACTTGCAGCATCCCCACAGGAGTGGTGGCAAAGAAACAGAATGTACCCATGACATTTTTTAATTTTCTGACTTTTTTTTTTACTACACAGACCTTTAGGTTTTGATATCTTAATTTCATAGAAAAAATTATATTCGCAGAGATAAGCCACTCTGCCAAGGTTACAAAGCACACAATAAGAATTAATAATCTGAAGACCTGGAGAGATAGCTCAGTTGGTGTAAGGATCTGAGTTCAATCCCCAGAATATAGACATGATAACATGCACTTATAATTCACACACTAGAGAAGCAAGCAGACGGATCCCTGGGGTTGGCCAGCTAGCCTAATCTACTTAGAGAATCCTAAGCCCTAAGCCACTGAGATACTTGTCTGAAAAAGCAAGGTGTATGGTGCCTGAGGAGCAACATCTGAGGTCTAGTCTCCAAATACATACATAAATATGGGAACACACACACACACACACACACACACACACACACACACACACAAACAAAACTCTAGGGACTCAAAACAGACCTTACTTATCTGCCTGACAAGCGCTGTGTCTGACAGTGCAGGTCATTTTCAGGGAAACCCAAGTGCTGTGTTTCAGGACATTTCTGGAGCTTCACATTTTGTTTTCAGGAGCACATCTTTTAGACCATTGGCAAGATACTGCTTCTTGTCAGTTATTGGAGCATTTATTCCAAGTCACTGTGCTGGTCCAGTTCAGCTGTGCATTTACCCTGTACTTGGAGTCAACTACCAACATATAGACTTCCGAGAGGCATCATGCCTGTAATCCATTTGGAGGTCTCATTATTCTAGCAGTAATAGGTTCCTGCTTGTATTTTATAGAGGCATTAACTTAAGTGTACTCGAAAGTAATACTAGTCAATGTTCTTTTTGCAGATATTATGCATTCATTTAATATTCTTTCCATTGAAGTTACTCTAGGATTCCTTTTCCTTGACAGAGTAAAATTGTTGTCATCAGTATGAGAGTCTTTCATATTCCAAAATCTGACAATTTCCACTGATACACATTCAAGCCTTCCTCCTAAGGTTTAGAGTTTTAGATATTATAATGAATGGAGAATGATGTATTAGCATCTCCATTGCTATCCATGGCACTCTGAAAAGGATTCCATATGTACTTACGCAGCTGTCAAACTCCTCGATAGGTTGAAGATGCTCATTTCAGTGCATATGACTATTAGTTATTTAATGCATTCAACAAAACCTTTAGCATAATTATAAGATACAGAGATGAGTGTTTGTTAATGGCTTCTTTGCTGTTCTGTAGTTACATTATGTTTAGAGCTCGTCTATGCAAAACCTGAAAACTCTCCTGTGATAGTTTCTGCGTATTCAGGTGCCATGTGGGCCATTCAGTCCTTCCACTTGTGACGAGTTCATGTCCTTATCCAAGCACACAATGTAGGACTCTTTATATTCTGCTCATAAGAGGAGATGAACAAGAGAGAGAAGACACTGTGCTGAGATGAATACAGTTACTGATAATAGTAGCTAATATTATTACAGTCCTGTCCTCCTAAGATTAGTGCTCACTCTTAAGACTCCAGGAATGGGAGAACCTAATTATTTTAAAGGGTCTTAGAGAGAGATTTCACATACTGATAAGCTTTAAGACTCCTCTTTTGTGGTAATTAATGTGACTCATCTTGATATTGCTGATCTTTTTTTAATGTTGTAGGTGTAATGTTTATAATTAGCACTCTTATAGGTTTGAGGTTAGCAAATGTCGAGGAACCTCGACGTTCCAGACTGTCTTCTAGTGCTTCCCTGTGTGTGATTTTTCATTCAGGTTTTCCTCTGCATGCTCCTTCCCAGACAGGTCTGTGGTTGTTTTCATTAATGGCTGCAGGCAGTTCTTACTAGCTGTGTCTGTTTAGTGGATCGTGTATAAAAGTGTGTTCTCTGGCTAGCAACACTTTTAATTCATTTTTCTAGAAATGGATTTCATACTTTACTAACCTCTTTTGTATTAGAATAGACATTATGAAATCAGAATGAAGTTACAGAGGAAAAATGGGATAGGATTAATAGGCCAAAAGAATTTTTTTCTTCTCCAACCTTCTGTTCTCAGAAAAGCAAGTTTAAATCAACTTACTTGTATTGTCCAATTCTTTGTTGCTCCAAGAAATGTAGACCCCCCCTGTGAGTGTTTCTAATTCAGACTAAATAAGGGTTTCTACATAGGGGGAAAGAATTTGAGACAAGTGTCCTTATAGCATCAAAAATGTAACTTATTGTCAAACCTTATGCTTATAGCTAGACAACTCCCACCCCACTTGTCTCTTTCTTCTTCTGATGTCAGCAAAGAGGAGCAATACTGATCCCAACCTTGAGAAAACTGTTTATGGGCTTGGGGAAAATCATTGACCTCCACAATATGTAAGTCCATTGTTTTTCTATATTGGATACATTTTCCAGCTTTTGGAATTCTCTACACTTTCTCTTGGCTTAAGGTAATGAAGATGCCAGCTGTATAGGAAGGTCATAGGGTCAGAGAGTGTATCTATGACAACAGAGGCAAAAGGAACAAAGCTAAGGCCAATGTGGAGAAAGTCAGATACAAACCTTACAGTCTGTCAAGCTCTCAATCCCCAAAGTGGAATGGTGATCTTTATGGATTTTCCTGTTCTGTGTACACTTGTCTCTCTTTTATTTCCTTGCTTTCAATTAGCAGACACTGTTGTTGATGTGGGAGGAACGGATAACATGTTTATGACTTAGTGGAGACAGTAAAGGCTTTCCACCAAGAGATGCCATTGGAGACTTAAGATCAGAATATCAGTCGTCTTCATGTATTCTGGGCTTTTTCACCAGCTGGCATGCTTTGGGGATGTGATTAGGTCTTGAGGCCCCCTATCTAATCAATGAATTCATCCTTGGATTGATTTGTAACATGATAGCATTTGTGAGAGAGGTAAATAGTAGGAGATAGGGCCTCCCTGAAAGAAACATGCCTTGGGAAGTTTGTCCTTGGAGCTACGTAGTCTTGCCCTGGTCCCTTTAGTCTATTCTACTTGCTTCCTATTTGCCATGACATCCTCCACACAACTCCATCACTATATTGTTCTTTCCAACTCTGGGCCCAGAAACCCAAAGTGACCAAGGACTGAAGCTTTTGAAATTGTGCACTGAAAGAAATAGTCCTGCCAATCGTTTGTTTTGTTTGGATGTTGGATGTTTGGTCAACAAAAAGAAAAATAAGACAGAAAGAAATGAGCATTTGGTAGAGGTTATGAGAGGGCCAGGGTGAGGAGTTTTGGTGTGTCTCAGACCCGGGGCAGGGAGGGGGGGGACGGGGGACAAGGGCAAGATGCCCAGAACATAGAGCATGACTGACAGACTGGGGGAGGGGAGGCGGGGGACAAGGGCAAGATGCCCAGAACATAGAGCATGACTGACAGACTGCATGGATACCAAGTTCCACTGCAACTTGGTCATCCATGTGGAATCCCAGCAACCCCTGGATCTGTTCCCATTAAAAAAGTTCCTAGATTCTGAGTGTCCATCAAGGTGTTCCTCCCAGAATCATAAAGTTGGAAGAATACTCCATTCAGAGGAAATTCCAGCATTCTCAGGAGTTTTAGCCATTTGCCTTCTCTTGTATCCTTAGTGTCATATTCTGTCTTTCTTTCTTATTTCTTTTTTTTTTTTTGGTTTTTGGAGACAGCGTTTCTCTGTGTAGCTTTGGAGCTTATCCTGGCACTCCCTCTGTAGACCAGGCTGACCTCGAACTCACAGAGATCCGCCTGTCTCTGCCTCCCAAGTGCTGGGATTAAAGGCGTGCACCACCAACGCCCAGCTAGTGTCATATTCTGATAATGATGTTAGTAATTACAGTTCTCATCAGGAAGTATCGAGTATATCAATTTCAAGAACTATTTTCTTCACTGTTTTCATTTCCACCCAGACCCAAAGAGACTGCATTTTCTATGTCTCAGTTTGTGAGGATCAGCCTGTGGCCTTTTACTCCTTAGCCATTTCCTTTTTTATTTTTCTTGTGCTGTCACTTATCAAGATCTTAGTTTCTTTAGGCTTAGACAGTTGTTTCCACAGACATTTGATCCAACAGTAGCATTTCCCCTTCACTATTCCTACCATCCTGCACCCAGAGTACCTTAGTATTTGCTTATTCTGAGTATATACTCTGTGTATTTCCTGCATACTGTCTAGCTATACCGATGGTAATCTATAACCCATCTGACTACCATTTGCACAAACTATGAAAAGGACACAGCCAACCAAAGCATCCTGTTTCTTTGTCAATGCTTTTCTGTGTCTCTAAAAATACCATACAATGTACATCCTTAAACTGGGTGCTAAACTGTCTTCTGCTTAGTTTTTAAAAGTTCTTTGCCATGAGTAAGTACCCCTTTGGGCCATACCACATTAGCAACCCACTTGACTGAGCAAATGTATTGTTTTCCTGGGAACAGAGAGCAACACCTCTGCTCCAGCAGTTACCCCCTCCCTGCCTCCACAGCGCACCATCTTGCTGAGAAACATATGCAACAAATCGTTTTGTTTTTCCTCTTTCATCATTCTCTATAAGAATTTTCAATTGCTCTAATACAGTATAAAGTCTTCCTGTGGACAGAAGTTTCACATTGGACTGGAACAGTTGGAAATCCCAAATAACATGGTTTAATCCCATAATTTATTGAAGCAGTATCAGAGATGTATTATTCAACTTGATAGTCAGGATGGCATGTTTATACATATTTAATTTCTTGTTTCTCTTATGAGTTGAGAAACTTATTAACCATACGTCTCAGCCCTGTCTTTGCTTATTCATGGTGGTCAGGGATCCTATTCTTAGATTCACACTACTGAATTCTGTATTCTTACTGATTTTTATTTCACGAAGCTCAGTCTTGAGGTAGGACTGCACATCATATGAAGTTTCACCGTCAACTCAGTTTTATTTAAAAAAAAAAAAAAAGATAACTCCCGTCATCATCATCACTGCTGTCATGCACACACTCTTGATTTGCTATTCAGTATGTCATCTCTCAAGTCTTTTGTTTTGACTATTTTATTACAGAGATATTTAATATGCTTATAGAGAAGTGGTTTTAATCCTGATATCTGAGTGTCTTTCAAGCACTTAGGAATCTTGTTTACCTTTGGTTTCCAAGATCTGAGTGTTGGAATTTGGAATGTGATAAATGCCTGCACATACCTGGCATTTCCTATATTGCCAAAACTTTCTTTTAATGACACTTCACCCACTGGAGGACAGGAGTGTGTCCTGTCTTATATAATTCACTTTGGTTCAGTGGAACTTGTTCTGAGGCAGATTTTTTCTGTGGGTGTTTGTGGTGAGTGATTCTTCTAAGGGACCCCAAGCTTTTTATCTTTGTTAGTAGACTTTGAAGTCTTTCCTATGAAGATTGAAATCCAAGGGTTGAGTTCAAGGAGAATTATTGCTTTCAGGGCTTCCAGGTAAGGACATTAATTTCAATAATGTGTATTCCTCTTGATTTTATACCTATTTCCTTATCCATTTTCTAATGACTAATATCTGGATTGTTAATCTTATAGGTTGGTGATAATTCAGGAATTGAAGACTGGTCACCAAATAGAATACATTTAGAAAAGATATTCTGAGTTAACCAATTATGCATGTTACACTTTATCTATCCTCTGGCAGTTTATTTTGCACCTGGGGTGTGACCTCATCAGCATTCTGAGTTAACCAATTATGCATGATACACTTTATAGAACATTATCTATCCTCTGGCAGTTTATTTTGCACCTGGGGTGTGACCTCATCAGCAATGTCCCTTGCCTGCCTCTGTTAGTAACAACTATGCTGATTCCCAGTGAGTAGGAGAACCTGTCCATAAATGGTCCCTGTGTTTATAAAGCATATGTGTTTAATTTATAGTCCCTCCACGTAACTTGATGATCGATATCCAGAAAGACACAGCAGTTGAAGGGGAAGAGATTGAAGTCAACTGCACTGCCATGGCCAGCAAGCCGGCCACCACCATCAGATGGTTCAAAGGGAACAAGGAACTCAAAGGTATGATGCAGACTGCCCAGGCATGAAGCAGTTAGCTGGCACTCAACTCTAGCAAGTAGGCCTTTGTGAAAATTCTAAACAAATGCCCCTGAAACAGATGTATTTATTCCAGTATGGTCTCTAATCAATTAGCAAAAGCATCTGAGGCCAGAATAGAATGGCTTTCATTGTTTTCGTTCACAGCCTCCCTCTGGGGTTTGAGAGTTGGTAATGAACCAAACCTGTAAACTCCAACTCTTCAAACCAGGAGGAGTTTCTGCTAGGGATATCCCACAGTCCAAGATTGTGTCTATATCTCAAGTGTCACTGCTTTTGTTCTCTGTTTGATGGTGACTTAATGGTTCAGAAGGCCAAGTTATTCTGGCATGCACCACAGCCTTAGCTGTTGCGATGAGCTTTCCTGCAGAGGCGTGGCATTGCAGGCCAAGAGCTCAAGTCACCTCTGAACTTACAGGGACTGCCTGGCTGGTGAACTGTAATTCTCTTGCCTGATTTGCCAGCCCATTTGCAAAGTCTCTGAGTTTGGGGTTACACTACAGGCAGCTCCTATAGCCCTACTCCTACTTGACAATTTTCTATCGCCGTACTGTCTCACCCCTGTCAGTGTTTGGCTCTCTCTTTTAGCTTGCCCTGGAAGTAGTGCCTGAACAAAGGACTCTGGAGCTCACCCCTATTTTACAAAAATACTAGCTATGTGCCTCAGTTTCCTGTGAAATGGGAACAATTGTAATAGGGTGTTATTATGAAGATGAAATGAGCATTAAGGAAGTGCCTGAGACAGAACAAGTGTTATATGTGTGCTCATAAGTAAATAAACAGTGCAGGGATGAAAATAGCCCTTTTAGAAAGGCGATACAGAAATTTATATCCAGAAACAGAGAATTCTGTGGGGAGCAGCAACTTTCCAAAAGCTTGTTCCGTTTTAATCCCCTATTTCCTAAGTATGGTTTTAGAAGGAAGGAGTTTCTCATTTCCCCTCTTCCCCTCTGTCTAAGTGAATTGAGCCATTAAATGTGGACCGATAAGTACAAAACATTCAAAGAAAGTTAATGGTGTGCCATGCTCCTGGGAGTTCTGGGTTCAGGAAGGGACTTCCTAGGCCTATTCATTCCCTCCGGAAGCCTCCTCCCTCCTTTTCTGGGTGTTCTTGGACGTGTCTCCCATCTGGCCCTAAGCCCTATATCTTACTTTGCTCTATCCCACTGCCACTGCATTTTTTTGTGGTCCTCCAGAAGTCTCCGAGTTTAAACATTTCAATTACAATTTCAATTATGTAAATCCATTTAGTTACTTTCCCTCTTAATTCTTGATGATGGGGGTGGGCAAAGGGGCTTGTTTATATCTCTGTTGCTGATTGAATTGCTTGGGGGATTTAGACGATGCCCTGAGATTTTTCAGAGGCATGACAGCCTTGTAGATATTTGACGTTCAGATGGTGGTAGGGGTGCAAAGCTTTTTCCCTTCCCCCTCCCAAAACCACAAGCAGCCAGATGTCAAAATGGTTGAACTTGCAAATGACTTTCCAGGAGGTTCAAAGATAGAAGAAATATACATAATATATTTGAATAAAAATAATGTCTATTATTTACATTTGGAATATATCTGAAGTACTGTTTTACAAGGCTGAAAAAAAAAAAGAAACTAATGGAAATAATCATTTTATGGGATCCCTAGCCACTGAAGAACTGTTTTACAAGGCTGAAAAAAAAAAGAAACTAATGGAAATAATCATTTTATGGGATCCCTAGCCACAGATTGCCATGACTAGTGACACAACATTACCTTCATGTTAGGTAAAATAACATTGTTGGGGTTGTGGAGAAGGGAGAAGATCTTGATACATTTTGTTTCACACAGGCAAATCGGAGGTGGAAGAGTGGTCGGACATGTACACTGTGACCAGTCAACTGATGCTGAAGGTGCACAAGGAAGATGATGGGGTCCCAGTGATCTGTCAGGTGGAGCACCCTGCAGTCACTGGAAACCTGCAGACCCAGCGGTATCTAGAAGTGCAGTGTGAGTAACCAAGCATCTTGTTTTCTCCTGTTTGTGTGTTACTGAATTTAGGACCCACCCAGATAATTCAGAGTGGTCTTATTTTGAGGTACTTAGGTTACATGTATAGAGATTCTTTTTCCAAATTAGACCATATTCATAGGTTCTTGGGGTTTAAGTTTGCCTTTGGAAGGCATTTTTTTAGCTGATACATTCCTTATTGTCTGTTTAAATTGTCCAAGTAGTACAAGATATAGGGAACATTATAAACTTGCTCGTAGAGACCATCTTGTCCCAACCTCGTCTTGCCCTTCGAGCATGGCTCAATTTACATTAGAGAATGCAGGTTTTTCTTGTTAATTCATTTCCTCTACTTCATTATATAGCTTCATTATGAGCATCATGCTTATAATTTTCATATCACTAAAACTATTGTGGTATAATGTCCCTGTAATGGGAAAACAGAAATGATCAGATATTATCTAAATTGGCAGATACTAGATTTCTTGTGACTTTGTTAATATGTAATTCATTTAAGCAAACTTAATATCCATTAACGTTCCTTGTAGGGGCCCATTAGCTTTAATAATACATTAGCTCCTTTGTGAGTCCTGAGTGGATATCCACCCAGTTTCCACCCCTAAACCCTTTAAGTAGTTTCCCAGAGTATCTTTTAAATAGAGTGTAGACCCTCCCACCTACAAAATTATACTCACTGCCAGATACAGAATATTTCAAGTAGTACACCTCCTCCTACCCCTGGAAAATGTGATAATGGTTCCTAGTCTTGTTTTCATTTTCTGTATATTCAAGAGGGATTTGTCCTTCCAATAAAATGAATATAGCTCTGTATCTGAATCCATTTGGCTCCAATCTAACAAAGTACTGTGGGTTCCTTCCTTCAGGAGAGTGACTGTAACACTTTCAAAAAAAATGAGTCTGCAGCTACTGATCATTTCAAACCTTTACCATGGCAGCCTTTTGTAGTCAACTCTCTTCTTCCCTCAACTGAAGTTATAAAAACAATTTATTCTTGATGATTTTTAAATAAATATATGTAGGTGAAAAAACATCTTGTAAAAAAGGAAAGTTAAGAATTACAGAGCTTTATATAATTCTGAAGGGAAATTGGGGATCTGGTTTGTAAGCCTCTCAGAACTTAAGAAAGTCACCTGGCTCTTCAGGCTGTGAGTATCATTGCATTTGCAGAGCTGTGTTGACCATCAGGAAGACAGCCGGGGAGTCTTCAGTGTCTTTAAACACTGGGAGTCTCTGTATCATTCCCAACCAACTTGAGTCTGCTTAAACACCAGTAACTATTCCATTTCAGAGGACTCCTATCCCCAAGTCTGAGGCTCAAGTGCATTAGACACTAAGTCTTAGCTGTTAGCCACTAGGGGTAGCTCAGCTCCATTCCTTCATAGGAATCCTTTCTCTTCAGACAGGCATCTTGATGACCTGAAGGAAAGAGACAGAATTCTTAGTTGTCATGTGGATGCTAGGAATTGAACCCAGGTCCTCTGGAAGAGCAGCCAGTGCACTTAATCGATGAGCTATCTCTGCAGCCCCCAAACAGGATTTTTAGAATAGTTGTTCTGAAAGCATTCTGTGTAGATGCTGAATTCTTGTGGGCATCCATATAGAATAAATGTACATCCTGCCCCCCCCATTTTTAAATTGACTCAAATCCCTGAAGTTATCACCTTTATGGAGTCACTGACCCCTAAGAGTCCTTTGATAGCAATAGACCTGGGAAGGGAATAAAATCAGTCACCACATTTTGTTTGTAATATAAGGAGTTCAATTACCCATTAGAGTTTTGCTAATTTCTTCAACCACTGGTAAGACCTATTGCTTTAACCTAACTATGATCTGTATATTATTAGTAGCTGTAAAAATATGCATTTTATTCATTATGTGTTTTCACATAAAATTTTTAAAAATACTCTTTTTCTTTTTAATGTCCTCTCCTTTGTAAGCTAAGATTTCTTCAGACTATCATCAGGGATCAACAGTTAGTTACCAGGAAATACTGAATCCCTTCACAGCCCTCATATTCTACCCCAAGTAGATAAGACCTTGGTGGGGGGCAAATAGTTCTGCATATTGTTAAGTGTCCTCAGTGACTTTCATCTTGGCAGTTTTGGACAGTGTAGGTTTATGGGATGACCACTCTGCCCCATCTAAGATAAATGAATGTCAACTGGGACAGGAGCAGGACTAAGTGACTAATGGTAGAATTATGTACAGGTTAGAGCCTGTGTTACAACTGATGTTCACAGGAAAATGAAATGACAACCTTTACTCTATGCCATTGCATATCTAACTTGAAGGATGACAGGAGAAGAGTAATAAAAAGAAAAGAAGTAGAGTACTTCTCCCCTTAAGATGAAATATCTCCATGTAGCATGGTGGACAAGGTTTGAGCTACATCTTGGCATTGCTTTTGTGATTTCAAGTCCTAATTAATTGAATCAGTATTTTGTAGTGTTTGTGTGTTAGTACCTCTATTTGTGGTACCAGGAGAAATTGTTGTGCCCAATTATGTGAAAAATCAGCCAGATGTGTATGCTGTCATACTTTTAATAACCCTTAAATTTTGGTGAGTACAGATATTAATTGTGTAGTATGCATTGAAGTGATTAACATCAATGTAATTTATCATCTGGAGATTTCTGAACATAAATAAATGAGTTGTTTTGTTCAGCAAGGTGTTGACCCCTCCAGAATCAGTGAATTAAAAGCCCCCCCTCCTCTTTTTTATTATAAATATGAAAGGCACCACAATCAGCCAAGTGTTCAGTTATTTGATTTTCTGGGGCATTAGCCGCTCTTGTTTGTGACATTTCCCTGTTGGGTGCTCGTTTGCAAGCTCATTAATAAGGTTTTCTCATAGGAACATTGCTGGGAATGAAGAACATACAGTAGGGCTCTTAGCTTGCTAGCTTTCATTCCGAGACCCAGCAAGGGTACAGCAGCATGCAGCTAAATGTTTAAAACAGAAAATAATTATGTTAGAAAGGTAGAATTCAGAGCTCTGCTTTCTTAGATGTTGTGCAGAGAACAGTTGTACCTTTTAAATATGCTGAGCTATATGACCCTAAAGTCTTCCTGTGCCTTTTTTTTTCTTCCCCATCTTTCAAGCGCTGTATAGGTGTGTTGCCCAGATTTACACCATGGTTGATTACAGCAGAGTGTGATACAGTTGAAGCACTGTTAGTAGAGCATCAGATCTGAGGGAGTGCACTCTTGTCAAATAACAGCCTGTTTAAACAAAACCAGTTCACTGTCTGTGTGCTAAAAGAAAGCTGTCTAAATAGCATCAAGGTGGCAACACATTGTGACATAAGCTGGGAATTCAAAAGGAAGCTGTGACCCTCAGTATGGAATTCAGAGTGCTGTGCAGAAGGGAAGAAAGCCTTGCTCTGGACTCAGGAGAGTGAGCTGGAATGACCACTGCGTGGCTTTCATCTCCTGCACCGTAGTCTTCTCTTTGGAATGTTTTTGCAAGAGATCCTCATTTTGTTCAGGTTTTGTGCATGTGTGCATTATTTGTAAAAAAGGAAGAAACAAATTAAGAGCTGAGTCTAGAAAGAGAAAATGAAACAAAGCCTCTAGAAGCCGTATTAGAGCCGTTCCCCTGCCAAGATTCTCACATGACAGTTAATAGTGTATGTGGGCATCATTCTCAAAATGAGTTTTATTGACTGGATGTAGGCAGGTATATGAGTCTAGAAAGAGAAAATGAAACAAAGCCTCTAGAAGCCGGTATTGGAGCCGTTCCCCTGCCAAGATTCTCACATGACAGTTAATAGTGTACGTGGGCATCATTCTCAAAATGAGTTTTATTGACTGGATGTAGGCAGGTATTTTATAAATCCATATTCCCATCCTTCCAAGGTCTAGAGAAGGGTGGGTGGTGTTTGTTTTGGGTTTTTTCCCCATTCCCTCAACTACAGGAAAATTGAGCGTTGAGAGGGATGATCAAAATCCATTCTTTATCTGTGACAAAGTGAATGTTTCTGTGATATTGATAGCACCCTGTGGTGATGAAGGTTGAAAACCTGGAAATTGGGAAATCTTTCCTGTTTGGACTGGAGGACAAAAGTTCCCAGAGCAACTGATCAGCTCCTCCCCACTCTCCCAGGTTGTATTCTTAAAGTCAAAACAGCTGTGTTTTCAGATTGGACCTGTTGCTCTGGTCTCTAGGCTCTGTGTCCAACAGGATCTGATGTATGCATCAGTGAGCTGGGTTCCAGAGAGGTTATTTCAGTTATTATTATTCCTTATGAGAAATCATCAAGGCAGAGAGATCCCAGTTGAAGCACCATTTGTAACCTGGCATTCTTTGTGTGTGTCAAGAGCAGGGACAGCTCCGAGTTCCTGAAGTTTCTGGACCAACGAAAGCGGGAAGCTAGTGACAGTATTCAAGATGAAAGGGCAGGGTGAGGGTTGGACAAGGAGAGAATGATCCTGAGGGTAAGGACTTTGCCTTCTGTAGTTCCACCCCAAAAGCCAGCCAGTGCTGCTTGCTGAGCTGTAGGTATAAAAGATGGCTCTGGTTTGGTGTGGACATCCAGTACTCACATAGTGAAACTCTCCTGATGTATACTCTTTGCTTAAAGGTTTTTAACTCGGGATCACATTCTGATTCTGTGGAAGGTGAAATGATAGTGACACTGGCCTCTAAAATGTTAAAAGAATAGTCAAACAAAACCCCTTATAGTGTCCCCAAAGATGCAAGAAATGCCAGCTAACTGAAATGCACATTCTTCAGCCACAGTACCTGGGCTGTGTGTAGCCAGCTTGATCTTCAAAACAAACATACAAACAAACACACAGATTAATTTTTGAGGGCTAAGATGGACTCCTGTCTAATTTATTGTTGCTGTTGTTGCTATTATTCTAGTCTGTGGTTGAGCTAGGAACAGAAGGCCTGACCTAATGTTTATCCACGTCTTCTACAGATACATTGTCAAATGTCTCCTGTGTGCCAGGCCCTGACACATTTGTAGTTGCCT